AAGCTTAAACCATTAAATTAAGAGGGCTATTGGGCTGAATTGTATGCCCTAAATAAATCGATGTGCAAGAAGACAGGCAGCGGTTTTCTGTTTTGGACACATTCCTCGTGTGTATGACTCCACACACAACAAACCAACTTGCATGAAATTTTCCTACAGGATTGCTGATCAGCAAAGCTTTATGATTTTGTGATAATGAGAGCGAAAAATTGAGCCTTAATTCAAGGGCAGATTTCAAGGGCAGATTTTAAGGGAAACAGAGAGCCCTCCTTCCGACGTAAGTCAATCACTTTTAGCTAGCAAGCACTCTCTAGATCTCTCTAGATGTCGCCCTTCACATAGCCCAGCGCCTGCTCTCACATCGCTCAGCGGATTCTCCTATATTGAGAGGGGTCGAGGAGCACTGGGAACAAGACATTTACCTGCCATTTTCTGGCAAGTTTGTAACCCTGAAAAACACGTCTGATTTAACCATTTTAAACAGAGTTTTCAGGTCTCAATTCAGGTCAGTTTTCCTTTTTTAGGTATCCGAAAAATTCGTGCTCAGTTAGAAACATGTCAGATCATAAGCAACGTGTANTGCAAGAAGACAGGCAGCGGTTTTCTGTTTTGGACACATTCCTCGTGTGTATGACTCCACACACAACAAACCAACTTGCATGAAATTTTCCTACAGGATTGCTGATCAGCAAAGCTTTATGATTTTGTGATAATGAGAGCGAAAATTTGAGCCTTAATTCAAGGACAGATTCCAAGGGCAGATTTTAAGGGAAACAGAGAGCCCTCCTTCGAAGTCAATCACTTTTAGCTAGCAAGCACTCTCTAAATCTCTCTAGATGTCGCCCTTCACATAGCCCTGCGCCTGCACTCACACCGCTCAGCGGATTCTCCCATATTGAGAGGGGTCGAGGAGCACTGGGAACAAGACATTTACCTGCCATTTTGTGCCAAGTCTGTAGCCCTGAAAAACACGCCTGATTTAACCATTTTGAACAGAGTTTTCAGGTCTCAATTTAGGTGAGTTTTCCTTTTTTATGTATTGGAAAAAATCGTGCTCAGTTAGAAACATGTCACATCATAAGCAACGTGTACAGGTGTAGAAAGACCTGTCCCTGAAAAATTCGAAGTTAACTTGAACGCCATGAAATGTTGACACGAGAAGGCAGCCAATAGGTACAGTACTTTCTTTAGTGAAAAGGTTATGAGGTGAGCCATCTGATTTTTTTCCCCTCATTTTTCCTTGTCGATAGCGGTAGGCTGTTATGTTATAGGGTTGACTACAGTTTTTCATTGTAAGTAAGCTTATTTACACTACGCTTTTGATTCGTTCGGTCAGTCCCAGGGTAGACAATCTATAAAAATCGATATCGAAAAACCACTTAATAAATCGATATCAATAAATAAACTGAATTTTAAATGCTTTCGATGTTATCGATCAATCGATAAAAATCGATACTCACAACCTGGCGAAATCGTTTCCTTCCACTCAATCAGACATTACAGCGGTTATCAATCACACGCGACCTTCAGCGCAAAAACGTCTTGAGAAAACCTAAGTTTTGGTGGACGTCAATCATCTCCGCCTCCTAGCCGACTGGATAAAAATTTACCTGAAAAAAAAAGTCTGAAACCTTGCTGTGGTCCACTAGTAAACATTATCATTTTACTTTCGGTGTGTACGGCTAGCTCACTAAATACATCGGCATTAAATATTCCTTGAAATCTATAAATG